GTGTCATTTCAGGAAGGGGTTGGTTATTGAAATTTGGGACTAGAACAACTGAAGAACAACTTCACTTCAGGGTTCCTAGTGTACCCTATCACAGTGACTGAGTGATAGAGCCATGGGAGACAGCCATGGACAGGGGGTAGGCTAGAAGAGATCCCCTGACAAGTTTAAACTCAGGCTGGGAAGGACACAGTCCCACCACCTGCAGGGAGAAGCCAGGCCCAATTGAGATATGCTCAGAAACAGCTGGGTCTGAAAGTGCCTGTGGCATTAAGACCTTGAACCCTTGCCCTGCTACTTATCTCCAGCACAGATCTGAGGTTGACTGCCTTCCCCATCCACCACTGTGAGCAAGGCCAGGTCACTGCCACAACCTAGGATAAACGGAGGGGCTCTGGAATAGCGGTGCACGTCACAGACTCACAGGCCAGAGGCAAGGCAGAGAAAACCGAGACGTGATGGGCACAACTGCAGATCCCACAAGGAAGCCACTCATTCAAAAAGACAGAAAAAAATTTTCCCTGTTTTTGGACTCATTTCCTTTTCTTTTCTTTCTCCTTTTTCATTTTTATTCTTTTTCCTTTTCATTTGTTCTTTTTTATTCACTATATTATTCCTTTTTCCTCCTTTTGGCTTTTATCTTCAATTTCTCATTGGTTTTCTATAACTATCTTTCTAGTCCATAATAGGGTCCTTTCTCTCACTTCTCTTATTTCTTATCTCCTAATGTTTCAATTTTTCAAATTTTTCCTTTGTCTTTCTCTAAGTCCCCACCTCCTGTATCTTTAACAGTATAACCATTAAGCTTTATGAGTCATTAGTTATTTATCTGTTACTGTTGTTGAATTCTTTAATATCATTAGAAGTATAGTTATCACATTTAGTAACTATTTGCTGTATATCAATATTTGGTTTGTCTTAGGGTTTATACCATAATTCTAGATTTCATTTCTAAGGTTAAGGGTGATTCATGATAGGTTTTTATGGTATGTCAATATACAGTTTTTCTTGGACAACATTACTGTTGCTGATGTACTAGATATTGCCATGATCCCAAAGTTGTTGTGATTAACAGGTTTTCGCTGTATACCAATGTGTGGATTACCTTTGTGACAGTAATAATACTGCAGTCCACTCCAGGAGAACTGAATGCTGGACCAACTACACTGCATCCCCCTCCCATATTAACACAGGTGATCAGATCTTGGGACAGAGGCAAAGGACTATAGTTAGTCGTACCCTGAGTGTATCATGAAAACCAGACTAAGCAATATCCATACTAGCAACAATATCCTTCCACTACAGGTTACCACATACCTAAGTACAAAACAAACAAACAAAACAATGGAAAGATGAGAAAACAAGGCAACAAAATGCCTCCCAAAACTCCCAATTCCCCAAAAGCTGACCCAAGGGGGAAGGAAAGGAAAAGTCACACAGCCAAATTAGTTGACACGATAACAGAATAAATTTAAAAACATATTACTGAGGTGCTTGGAGGGCTCACACAAAATATAACCAGATAATGGAGGTAATATACAAAAGAATCAGGAAGCTTACAAAGACACTAGTAAAAAGCAAGCTGAGCTAAATGAAATAATACGAAGCATAGGGCCGGGGATTTAGCTCAGTGGTTTCGCCACCTGCTGTGCAAGCGCAAGGACCCGAGTTCGATCCCTGGGACCAAAAAAAAAAAAAGAAAAGAAAAAGAAAACATGAATGGTCAGTTTAACAAAGAACTAGAGTTCATGAAAAGGTTCTAAATAAAAATCCAAGAGATTAAAATTTATATGGAAAGTACAGGCAGCAGAAATGACCAATGTGCGGACAGAGTATCAGAATTAGAAGATAGAGATGCTTTATAGACCAATTACTCAGATACCTTAAAAACAATAAGAGAACATGAAAAATGAATTCAACAGCTGCTAGACCACACAAAGAGGACTAATTTAAGATTAATTGGAATAAGTAAAAAATCAGAAAACAGCACAAAGAGCTTAAAAACCTATGAAAATAATAGCAGGAAAGTTTCCAAATATGGGAAAAGAATTAAACATACATATAATTGAGGCATACGTAACCCCAAATAGCCAAAATCAAAAAAACTGCCCCATCTCTCACACTAATCAAAATACCACAACTGCAACAATGGGACAAAATCTTAAAACCTGTTAGAAGAAGCAACATAGCAGACTTCTCATCACAAAACTTAAAGGCCAGAAGAGCTTAACAGTGAAACATTTCAAGCCCTAAAAGATAACTTCCAGCCCAGACTTTTACAACCTGCAAAACTTCCAAAATTGATGGAGAAATAAGGTATTTCCATGACCAAGAACACCTCAAGAAATTCATGACCAGTTGTGGTGGGAGAGCGGAGGGGCCCAGAGCGTGACTTGCCCGCTCCTCGCTGCGTTTCCACTGCCTGTCGCCAGTCGCCACCGCTGCCACCACGCAGCCATGCCTGAGGAGAAGCCCAAGAAGGCTGTGAAGATGGAGAATGACCACATCAACCTGAAGGTGGCTGGGCAGGAGGGCTCGGTGGTGCAGTTCAAGATCAAGAGGCACATCCCACTGAGCAACCTGATGAAGGCCTACTGCGAAAGGCAGGGCTTGTCAATGAGACAGATCAGATTCAGGTTTGATGGGCAACCCATTAATGAAACAGATACTGCAGCACAGCTGGAGATGGAGAATGAGGACACCATCAACGCGTTTCAGCAGCAGATGGGAGGTGCGGCCTCCAGAGGGACCGTCGTGCACCCTGCGTTTGCTGTGGAGTGGTGAGCACACAGCCAAGCTGATCACGGGAGTCTGGGAGCCGAGTACAATCACCACCCAACTCACATCTGTCGGGTGCACTTCCAGTGCAATGCAGAACTGCACCTAGAGACGCGTCTACAGCTTAAATTGGGCCAGATTGTTTTCTGATTAGATAAAATGAGTTGTGAGGTTTTTGGTTTTTTCTCCCCTCCCAAAACATTTTTTTACAAGAATTGTAGCCGAATGTTGGCTCCATCTGTGGCCAAGTTCTCATCTCAGAGTTGAGACTGCTCCTGAACTGCCTGTGGTAAGTATACAGACAGTGCACATTCTCCCAGGGAGTACTGCTGTGGGACCACTGGCAGAATTTCATTCACTTTTTGCTGTAGACACAAGTACTGCGATTGAAACTTGAGGCTCTAAAAAAAAGAAAGAAAGAAAGAAACTTGAGGCTTTGTCAAGCATATGGTAAAGTGGAAGGGAAACACTGGACCGCTTCTTGAAAGGTAATAAACACATGACAGGTCATTCAGTGCTGTGGCCCTGCTCTCTGCTCCTGATGCGTCCCCTGGGGCCTGAAGCTCAGGATGCCGTCCCTCTGCTCAGTACCTGGTGAAGGTACATGGGCAAAGATTGGTGCAACAAAAACCAGCTTTTTCCCTTTTTGTAACACAGAATAAACTACCTACACCACATTTCTCACTTGGTAATTGTATTGTGGCCTCAGACTTCTAGTAGTCACCTCTGATGAATAATTATGTTCTTCATAAAGAAAAGATGAAGTTTCCTGAATTTGCAGTTACGTTACTGTGTAAAAGAGCTACTTTAAAATGTGGTCGCATAAGAAACCCATGGAAAGGTGACTCTGTGTTCTTCTCATGGATTTTGTGCTCCGCCACTTTCCAAGTATGTATTGATGTTGTGCATTAGTACGGTGACTCCAGTTCTGTGACATATTTTGGGCTCTGCCAGTTTCAACGTTCATAGTTCTGCCTGTTGTCCTCTAAGGATCCACTGCTGCTTGACAGCCATTCTCTGACTTTCAGTCACCTGACAAGGACCTACCATCTCTTGCTTGCTTAAAATCCTGCAAAA